GGTTCTTGGGGTTCTTCTTGGGGGATCCGGAGAGGAGGGGGGATGCACGGTGAGCCCCCTCCCGGTCAGGGCAGATGCAGGAGGAAAGTTGCGACCACCCCCAGGGCGAGGGAGAGGAGCGGGGGGCTCCCGCAGGGGGGGCTCAGGTTGGCGCTGGTCGTTGCATTGGCGTGCGGAGTCTCTTTTGGAAGCTGCTTCGCCTCTTGCGCCTGGCAGAGGGACTGGGAAAGAAAAACGAGCGTCAGGCATCCCTTCCAAACAGCAGCGAGGGGTTGAAAGCCTCACTCGATGGCCCTCGGGGCAGAAGGAGTCAGGGGCAAACGCAGTTGGGGCACCCAAGAGCCCACAGTGTCCCATGCCAGGCAGGACAAACAGCCTCCTGTCCCACGGCAGGTTCTCCTTCCCACTCAGACTCCCGGCTTTTGGGTTTTCCCAGCACAAGGCGGGAAGCTCCCCCTCGAATGGTTGCCCTGGCTCTAGAGGAGGGCTTTTAAAAAATTAGGGGGAGGCAGGAGCCAGGGAGTGGCCTCTGCCCCTCTCGCTGCTGCGAGGAAGTGGCGAGGAGGTGGCGGGACACGCGCCCTGAGCGGAAGAGGTTGGGGTGTGGGAGCAGAGCTGGGAAACACCCGTGCTGGAGGAGAGGGGCCAGGGGGAAGAGGGACCCCCGGGCTGTTGCAAGCAGGGAGGTTGCAGCCGGTGAGTGGAATGTAACGCAGCTGGGATGGCGATTTCAGGGCGCTTTCCTTCCGTCTCTAACTCTACCCTGCTGCTGGAAAAGGGATGCTGTTCCCCACTGTGAGACACACAGTCTCCACACTGCCTCGCCACCCTCCTCAGGGTCCCTCCAGAGCTAGGGAAAGGGTCAGGGATGGGGCCCCAACACCCCCGAGGGTTTTTGGCTGGTTTCACCTGGTCACGGAGGGGGAACCCCAAAATGTAAATGCACCCTGTGGAGCCAACAACAGCAGGTTGCAGGTGCGTGGAAGTTCATGAGTGAAATAAGCTCAGAGAGATCTGGCGCCGTCACCAACACATTGTTGGGGGCAAAAAAAATCATCCCAGAAGCTGCTCCAAACAGCATCGTGCCCCCAAAAGCATCATGACCTTCCCTCCCACGCAACGCTCCCCACCCAGGAGAGCCCTGACATCCACCAGCATGGCACTCAGACCCTCACAGGGGGAAGAAAAACAACCTGCAGCGGGGAGAGGCGAGAGGAAACCACAGACCCGTGCCCACCCAGGACCCCCACGCCGTGCCCGGCCTCTCCAGCGAGCCACACGCAGCATCCCCACACCAGGCACTCAAAGGAGGGGCTGGAGGTTGAAGGTTATGGATGTGAATGATACTCTCAGGTTAAAGAAATACTTAAAAAAAAGTCAACACATGGGAGTAGTTAGACCTTCCAGACCACAGCGCAAAGCTCCTGGTCCATCACAGCGGTTAAGAGTCAGATAGAAAATTAAACGCTGATGCTCCCAGCTGAAAGCAGAAATTGCCTGGCTGATTGAACCCAGGGCTGCCTCCCACCCGCTGGGCCACCAGAGCCCGGGCCTTACCATGCAGAGGGCGAGCAGGGCGAGCAGGAGGAGCGGGCGGAGGCGCTGCAGGGGCCGCATGGTCGGGGCTCGCGGGGCTCTCCGTGTGCCTGACGCTTCCTCGTCTGCCTCGAGGCTTTAAGCGTAGCGCTGGCTCCGTCTCACCAATCACAACCCCCTCCTCCAAAAGGCTGCTCAGCTCAGTTTGGGGAAGTCGCGCCTGTTGACGGTGCTGGGAGGAAGAAGGTGCCAGACGCGGCGTGGGGGATCTCCACCCTGTCCGGCCTCCAGTCCCTGGAGCTTTTCACCTGCATCCCCCGCCACGAGAGCAGCTCCTGCTCCCTCTTCCCTGGCACGGCCACGCAGCCAGCTCCAAGGGGTGTTCTGGCCACTGTCTGCAGCCCCTGGCTCTGCCACGTCCCCAAATACCATGAAACCCCTCAGGTTGAGCTCTGCATCTGCTTTGGTGCTCTCGGTCCTCACACCCACAAAGGACTTAAGAGTGGCTAAAACCCTCCCTGGCTCACTGGGAGGGTTTGCAGGTCACAGCCAGTGTTTGAAGCGTGTCACAAACCTCCTTCCCCTGGTGTGAAGCTGGGGCTGAGGAGTCCCTCTGAATTTCGGTGACACACCCAGGGTCTGATCCAGGTAAGGGATCAGGGAAATGCTTCCTTCTGCCCTCCGAGATCCACCTTCTCACAGCAGATCTCTGGGCTCCCTCAGCGACTCCACTGCAGCAGCAGGAGACACAAAAGAGATCTGGTTATTTTAAGGTGGTTTGATATGAATAAAGTTACTAAAATGTGCCGAGCACATACACCTGCTGTCTGGGTTTGTGCTGGTGAAGCGCTTCATGAAGAGCTCACTGTCGGCTTCCACCCAGAGCTGAGAGCTCTTCTGCGGCAAAGCTTCACCAAATTTAGCTCGTTTTCATACTTTGGGGAAGTTTCAAACTGAAAGTCTCTCTGTGCACAGCCAGCATCCCTGGAAGTGTCCAAGGCCAGCTTGGATGGGGCTTGGAGCAGCCTGATCTAGTGGAAGGTGTCCCTGCCCATGGCAAGGGGGTGGAATGGGGTGGGCTTTGAGGTCCCTTCCAAAACCAGTCCTGTGATTCTGTGAGCACCCCGTAAAAGGGGGTAAAGTTGGCTGGACTCCAGCTGGCTCCGCGGCAGCAGGTGGGGTGGGGAGACACACAGGGTAGGCTCCTGGCATGGGCAGCAAGCTCTGGATGGAGCTCAGGGCATCAGTGAGGCAAAACAAAAGGTGCCCAGGTTAGAAAAGCGAGACCAAAGCAACAGGCGAGGGAATAGGGAGGAACTGCAGGAGGAGCGAGAGGTGCCTCAGGTCAGACCGATGTCTATGAGCTCAAGCAGAGGATGTGCAGAGGGAGGCCAGGGAGGGAAGCGGGACCCACTCCCATTCTCATCCCGCTCCCATTCCCGGTCCCGGCGTGTCGGGGGGCGCCGCGCGGTGCATGCTGGGACTTGTAGTCCCCACGGGGCTTAATCAGCCACCACGTGACCAGCCCTGAGCCAATCGCAGCGGGGCCCCGCGTCGCCATGGCAACCGCCTGTAAACAAGATGGCGGCGGGTGGGTGAGTGAGTGCTTGGGGGGAGCGCGGGGAGCCCCCCCCCTCTCCCCGTGTTTCGAACCCCCACCCTCCCCCGAGGGTCCCTCAACACACGGAGCTCCGCCCCAGCACGCCCCGGGTGTCCCCGCTGCTGCCACTCCCGCCGGGCTCCCCCAGCTGCACTCCCTTCCTCCCCCAAAAGTCACCTCCCCCAGGAGGTACCTGGTGACCCCCGTTATTTTGAGCCCCTTTTCGCCCATGATCCCTCAAACAGCCCACCCTGCCTCGGTGTACGGGCTGGGATGATGAGAAAAATGTACAGCTTAAGCTCTTTTTTAGACAGTTTTTTCAACTATATTTAAAAAATTCACCCACCAAGCACAACTCCCCCCCTCCCCCAAGTTAATGAGTCTGTGCTTTATTTTTATATATTATCCCCTCTTATTTTTACTGAAAGAGCAGATCTGTCCACGTTCATTGCCCTCACAGGTAGGGCAGTTCTTACCACCCTACGCATTTTGCAATGGCTGTAGCTCTGTCTGCTCTCCCTCTCCTACAACTGCCCAAAATCAGATAAGAAACAACTGGCTTCCACATCCTCAACCAGCCTAGAGCACAGCACAGAACGTCGCCTGGTTTTGCAGTTCCACTTTGGGTCACATCCTCCCCACCAGGTTTTAGAGCAAACCCTCACGGTTCACTCCCAGTAAAGTCTGCTTGTTTCTGATTGTACCTTCCCAGGTTCCTTTATCTCATATCGAGTGCCCCCACACTC